TATTTCTTCCTTTTTCAAATCGTTTTTTTTTAAATATTTGTCTTTTTTTGATCTTAGTAATATTTTAGGTCAAATTAGATATCTTATTTCAGCCAAAAAAAAATCACAGTCATTAAAGTATTCTTCATTAGCATAACTACTAAATAATGAAAGTGCAATATTTTTAAATCTTTTCAATTTTAAATTTAAAGGTTTTTTTTTTTCTTTCGAAGAAATATTTAAAAAAATAATATAATGATAGAAAATATTGATAATTATCCAAAGCATCATCAAAACACGCATAATTTCATACACTAATAGGAATCGATAATGAGTATAGCTAATCTGATCTGAATCAATATGTAATTAACCTGAAATCGACATGTACATGTATAAATGATATATCAGTTATTCTGTTTTCTTTCTCATTTCAGTTCCTTAAACAATAAATTCTCCGTGAAATATTAATTATTTCGTTTTTCTCTTCGTAGTTCACTTTAATTCGTATTTTATCCAATTTATCTATAATTTATGAATAATTTATGCACATTAATTTATTTGTAACAATAATTTATGCAAATGAGTGAGAATGGAAAAAACAGACGAACAAAGGAACTGTTTAAAACTTTTTAATTATTTCAAATAATCTATCGAATTAATTGTTTCTCAACTTTTTGCTAGAAATAGGTCTAGCGTGATTCAACTGATTTCAATCTTAGTGTAATGAATTTGTCACAATTTAAAAGACCAAAGATTGTAAAGGTTGTAAAATTTGAAATTTGTTCTATCTTAAAGTTTCAACATCAAATGATTTGATCAGTTTTCTCACATCATATCCTAACTAATTCATACTAATTTATAAAAAAAAAAAAAAAACTGATAATTGTCTCTAACAATTTTAGTAACAATTTTGGCTTGAAACGACGATCAGTACTGGATGAATAATTTGAAAATGTAGAATTTTTTTGATAAATTTAAAAATTTTTTAAAAAATTCAAAAAGATTTGAATTAAATTTTAAAAAAAAAAAACTAAAAAATTTCGGTTAAGGAAATTGTTTCATTTTAAAATTGTATAAATACATATAATATATGTTATATTTCTATACTGTTAAATGAATCTTTTTTAAAAAAATGATTATGAAAATAAAAAATGATTATGAAAATAAAACAATATTTTATTAAAACATGAAAATATTGATTAATTTGTGAAGGTTAATTTTAACTTATTTTAATCTTAAAAGGAATAAATCTTAGAATATTTTAAATCAGAACAATTTCAACAAATTATAGAAAGGAAACAATCACAGCATGTTGTAAACCGGAACATTCCTAATATGCCATAAACCGGAAACAAACTATACAATCCTCTATGATCATCCATATTTATTCACTTTTGTTATGAACAGGAAATGAACAATTGTTGTTCAATTGCGCTCAATGACTTATTATTGGAACAGTGTACAAATTCGTACACAATTTGTTCCATTTATTAAATTATTTAATTTGGAAGAATGAAATTGTCTTTAACGAATTACTTAAATTATAATTATTATATATAAATTATATGATGAAATTAAATGGAAGTGAGTAAATTATTGTAAAAATTGTGCAGAAATGATGAAAAAAATTATTTCTTATACATTCATTTTAACATAGTTTGAAGATATTTTAAAGATTATTTTATAATTATAATTTAGCTTTCAATATAAAAATTAATAATTCGAAAACAAAAGAGAGGGAGAGAGAAGCAGAGAAAGGGACTGGAAGGAAATTTGTTTTCATAAGATTTGATTTAAAAATAACTACAGATTGATTTTTTTATGATAAACTAAAATGATATATTTCAAATTCATTAATTTCTTTTTCTTTTTCAAACATCATGACACAAAAGTTCAGTATTTTTAAACTAAACTTTCACAATTTTTTAATCTCACACTTAATTAGACTATCGATAATTAGCTTTAGGTAATTAAATTATTTTAGAAGAAAAATAAAATAATTATAAGACTATTTTTTAAAAAAATAATAATTACTAAATTATTTTGGTAAATTTTTTTTTAAAAAATAAAAAAATAGTCATTAAATTACTTTTTTAGAAAAAATTTTTGAAAAGAATAATGGATATTAAATTATTTTATCAAATTTTTTTTAGAAATTATTTTAGCACATAATTGCAAGTTTGTCATGAACAATTAATTTTATCGCTTAATGTTAAGCTTTTATTTAATAATGTGTTATAAATTATAATAGAAGAAATTGAATCTAAATAATACTTCAAAAAAAGAAAAAGAAAGAAAGAAAGCGATAGAAAAAGACGAAATTTGCACTTAATTACCAAAAAACAGTTAGTCATTAATAAAATGATATCAAAAAGAAAATTTAGCAAGAAAATTAATTATACTAGGAACTTAAAAGCAAAATAAATGATAAAGTGAATGAGAAGGCATATAAAATAAATTAATTAATAATAAAAATTAATAATAAAAATTAAATAATTAATATTTGCGCAAATGTGATAATTTTATATGTGATTTATATGTGATAATTTAATTTCTTAATATTAAGATTTATACTTAATATATTAATTAACATCCTAATATTTTTATCTGCTAATTACTTACGCCTAGTATGTGCATTTTTTAATCACTATTAAATTACTTCAATTGAATAACTGTTAACAATTAAAATAATGTTAGATGTAATTAATTACACAGAATAAGTTCTACTTAACGAACATTGCTATTTACTCTATCACTTATATATATATATATATATTTACTTAAATACTTATACTTAATGAGTTTATGCATCTAATAATTAATCGTAATAATTAGTACGCATCGTTGGCAATTAATTATACCTAATGAATGTATTTAATTATTTCTATACTTTATATTCATTTCTTGTCTAATATATGTGTGAAGTAATTATGTATGCTTAATATATCTTAATGTCGATTTAATAACTTAATTTAATTCATTAATATTAAGATTTATACTTAATGTGTTAATTAACATCTTAATATATGTAGGTGTTCATTATTTACATCTAGTATGTATATTCGCTAATCACTTATATTTTTATATTTTAAACCAAAACGAACTTCTAAATGCAACAATTCTTACGTTCACTTTTTCCATGCCATTTTTAATTTTTAACCAAATATTTATCTGATTCCGATTCCGGTTTTCATTCCATAATAATAATAATAATAATAAACCTTTCTTCAGTATTAAAACCTTCACTTTCTCTAAATAATAAAATTTTTAGTATTCAGAAAGCATCTTTTTTTAAATAAATATTTTTCTCTTGTTTCAAAATTTGTTTTTCTTCTTTTTTCAAATTTTATAAAAATTTAAAAAATAATAAAATTTCCATCCACTCTTTTCTTAGCTATTCTAATGATGCATATATGTTTATCAATTTAGTAAGAAATTTTAGATTATCAATGATGATGCACTTCACTATTTTGAAATATAAATGTATTGGTCAAAAGAACGAACAAAGTGAATTAAATTAATTGACCTAATCTTTAAATCATTAAATTTATTACTTGAACTGACAGCAAAATTTGCATTTAACTGATATTTTATGAAGAAATAAAGTCCTTTGATGTTCAAATAAATTTACGTTAAGAATATTTTTTGATATTAGTATGAAAATTATTGAATCAGTCCATCTCAAAATCTCATATGAGAATTATAGAATCGAGCCAAAATCCTTGGATTAATTCCTGAAGCAATCGATAATTATATAAAAATTATAAAATCAAATTCTTGAATCAATTCCTTATCTGCGGCTGTCATATGAGAATTATTCTTCGAATCAACTGATCTCACATGGGAATTGTAATTTTGGATCAATCGATCTCATATGAGAATTATGTCCTCAGATCAATCGATCTATATGTTATTGATTTTTTAAGAAATAAATCTCAAAACTACACCAAACAATCATTTATCACACTCTTATCATATGGCCTTATCAAATATATTAATTACATTATCACATTAAACGGCAGCTTATCATTCTTTCGTTCTTTTTCCTTTGCTTCATTCTAAAATGAACAAAAAAAGAATGCGTTAACACGCGGAAAGATAAGTGAGTGAGTGGAAGGAAGGAGCGAAAGTGAAAAGAAACTGTAAAACAAATTAAAAGAAAATCAATCAAATAATCAATAAATCAATCAATCAGCCAATCAATCAATCAACCAATCATACAATACGAATCGCATTAACATTGCATCTTTTGAATAATAATAAGATAAAAGAGAAAGACTGAAAAAGAAAGATAAAGTGATAACATATACACAATAAATGCACATTAAACAAAGTTGAGCAGAATTAAGCAAATTTCATTTCTGTTTCACTTTTCTTTTGCTCAATTACCTTTTTTGAGGTAAAAATACGTTTACGTTTGCGTAAGTTACGTCTAATCATGTAACTAATATATGAATGATTGAAAGAATGAATGAATGAATGGATATGATAAAAGTGATAAGATAATTCTGAGACATTAAATAGCTTTTAATAATGATTAAATAAGGCTAGGAAATATTCATTTAATATTCAAAAATGCAAGAGGCACTAAAATTAAAATCAAAATCAGAATCAAATATTAATTTTCTTTTACTTTTATAAATTTTAAGTAAAATTCGCATATTGAGTAAAATACAAATTTTAATTATGAATTTCAAAAATGATAGAAATCAAAGAATTTATAGAAAAGAAAAATAACCCGCAAAAGTCTTATAAAATTTGGTTCCTTAATAATAAGGAAAAAAGATGAAAAATGAGGTGCGAATAATTATGAATTTTAATAAAGTGAAATTTACTTATTTCTATTCTATCCTTTTTCCGTTCACATATGCTTTTCTTCCTGTTTCTTCCTATTTCCGTCTTTTCTTTTCTTTTTTTTTTTTTTTGCATTTCTTATTAACATATAAAAATGCATAACATAATTACAATATTATCACCAAATTCACACATCCGTAATTATTTCTGATACTTTAAAATATGTGTCATTTCGCATCAAGCAATTTCACCGATTCATTCAACCAATTCATAATTGCATTAATTGCAGCTAATATAGCAGGTGAACCGAATCCATGGGTAACCTGAAAATGATTTAAATTCTGATTTACATGTAATTAATATTACAAAAGAGAAAAATTTTTCATCATAAGAATGATACCGTAATGTGATCTGCGCGATATCACAAGATAATTTTATTAAATACGATCATTTATTACTATCATTATTACTATTATTATTGTTATTATTATTTATTGTTATTATTATTATAGCTATTATTATTATTGTTATCGTTATTTTATTATTATTATTATTATTATTATTATTACTATTATTATTACTATTATTATTGTTATTATTATTTATTGTTATTATTATAGCTATTATTATTATTGTTATCGCTATTATTATTATTATTATTACTATTATTATTATTATTATTATCGTTATTACTATTATTATTACTATTATTATTATCGTTATTATTATTATTATTATTGCTATTATTAACAATATAAATTATTATTATGTTGTTAATGTAGCAACAATTGTTATATTATTGCATTTAATAATAATGCAATAGTAATAAAAATTATTATTACTACTGCTATTTATTATCATCCATTAATATTAAATCATAAAAATACATAATGCTTCAATAAATTTTATTTATCCCAAGGAAAAGAAAGTAAAAGAGAACGAAACATATGATAGCAATATTAAGTTATTTGTAATTAGTAATATATAGCTGAAGCAAGTATAAAATAACTAGATTCCAATAAGCATTACAATTTCCAGTGAATTCAATTCAAATTTTTCTAAATCATTTTTAAATAAATGAAACGAATTACTTGAATAATAGAATGTTAAGTGAATTCAAAAAATTAATGAGTGAAATTAATTGTGATGCCAAAGAAAACCAAGAATTAAGACAATTTCTTTTTCTTTCAAATGTAATGAATCTGGGATTTAAAATTTGGATCAAAAGTAAGTTCAAATAATTTTCTGTCTTTATCAAATTAATAATATAAATTTAACGCTAAGCCATTTGCTATATTAAATTATAGCAATTATTAATTAAACAAGTGAAATTAATTATTGCAATTGTGAAATTCAAAGATAAAACATAATTTTTCTTCTTTTCCTTCCCCCTTTTCCTCTTCCTCTTCCTTCTCCTCCTCTTCATCCTCTTTAACTACTCACATTATAACTTAATTATATGCAACTTTCAACAAATGATTAAATGATAACATTATCACAAATGATAGAGTAATATTAAAAATAATAGAAGAAGAAGGAAACCACCAACATATTAATTAATTAGAAAAAGAAAAAAGAAACCATTGAGAAATGTGTTAGTCGACTTTGCACAATTGGTTCTAAAATTGGTTGTGGCCTTGAGGAACATATTGGACTTCGATCATTGCTTAATAATTCTTTCAATTCGGCTAATGTTGCTTTTGTTGCTAATAGCATATTCTTCCGTCGTTGCATATCTAATGACTCCATTGAACAATTTGCGCGTGTCAAATGTTCAGCAATCGCACGGGCGGGGAATTCATTCTCACAAACAGCGTTGAAATCTTTCGCCAAATGCATCGCTTCAACTGTCAATGAACAAATATTCATTTATTTGTTAACATTTCTTTTTTCACTCTATATATATATAAGCTAGTAATCATTTGGAAATAAAATTTACATAAAGAAAGCGATTAAAAATAATTATTCGTTATTCTTAAATATATTTAAAAAATATTTATTATTCTTAGACATATATTTATTAATTTTGGATATACTTAAATAAATATATAAAGTACTTTTAATAATAAACAGTAACATTAATCATTTTGAAACGTAAAGATGACAGTAGTTACAATAAAATCTCTAATTTGATTAGATATGATACGATAAATGAAACTGATAATTATTGATAAAATAATATTATATTTTTTATCCTTTTTTTTGTACTTATAACATATAGTCATATTTATGCAAAGTTACGTTTAGATAAGTCAACAAAAAAAAAAATTTTTTTTTTGTTTAATAAATAAAAAATAATTCCAAAACTATTCCCTAAAAATTAGATAAAATAACAATCAAATTTTTTTTTAAAATTTATAAAAAAAACAACTAACATTCAACAAGCGCTGTAAGTGAATTAACATTTGTCGCTTTCCGTCTTCCGGCTGGTAACTGTAAGCCAACACGTTTCAATTGATCACGTAAAGATTTACCACCATCTTTAGATTTGGCTCTGGAAAAAATGACATAGCCTAATTTTCCCCAATTATTCCAATTTTCAAATAAATTTTTTTTTTCAAATACAAATAGATTTTCAAAACTAGCATTACTAGAAGAAATATTTGAGAATTAAACTGATTGTTAAACGTAAATTAAATTAAAATTCAAATTAGAATTGGAATTTAGAGAAAGAGCAGAATATTATTGGTTTATTAAGCAATAATTATTAAAATATCATTGAATTCCATTCTAACAATTACTAATTTTAATTTCATATATTTAAAATTTGTAAAACTTTAAAAAAATGTTTAAAGTAACATGAAAAAAAGAAGGAGAGAGAGAGAGAGAAATGGAAAATGATGAGAGAAAAAAAGAGGGAGAGAAAGACAAAAAGACCAAATGAAAGAATAAAAAATGAATTTTAAAAGAATATTAATAATTCATGGTGAAAATATTAAATCCAAATCATTGTCAGTTCTTTCGATTTTTTTTTTGACTACCTGCGAAGAATTCCACCCAAAACTGATGCATTAAGACATTCCGGCGGTGAAAGTCGTCGATGAATTTCACCTACTGTCACTTTGTACTTCGCCGCACTGCTGAGCAAACTTAGCCGACCTTCAACATAATTAATTAATTTACTTATTTACTCATTTATCGTTCATAATTTCTTTTAATGATCATTAGCTGCAGATATTATTTGATTGAATTTTAGCAAAAAAAGAAAAATATGAATAATTAATATTATATTTCATATAAATAAATATTGCCTAATTAAGTGTTAATAGAAGTGATTAATTAATTTCCATCTTTGCTCTAATTGCTAAAAGAATGAATTTTTAAAATTATAAAAAGTACTTGATAATTTTTTACGTTTTTGTTTATCAAAAAGTTGAACAAACATTATGTTTTTATATTTACAAATTATATATATGAAAAAAAAAGAAAAAATTGTTAATGTGAAAGGTTTTAGCTTTATCACAAAATTTTTTTTTGTCAATAGATTCTATCACTGAAAAAATATACACGGGATATTTATCATAAATTAACCTTTAGCTAACTTATTCTAATTTTTGAAACCTACCGTTTCATTTTTATCATTTTCTATTTAATTATCAACATTAAAGATTATATTATAATATTTTAAGGAGGTTTATTAAGTATTTTAGTGCTATTATTAGATTAAATAATGAATGATACATTAAATCAAAAATTTATTATCATTTGTTCATATATCATCAATTACACTTAGTTTTGCTGATATTTTCATATCTAATCACTGCTACTATTTTCACATTTTAATTATTGCTAGTATACGTTAATCATTGTTACTAGCTTTAAAATTTCTCGAAATCTTTGAAAAAAAAAAAGAAAATTCCTCAAATTTTACAAAATCTAAACAATTTACCGTTTAGTCAATAAGTTTGGATGAAATTAAAATTGTCATTAAAACAAATAAATTTTCAAATAAAAATAAACCTGGCACAGAACAGAAGACATCAAGATAATTAACAGTATGAGAAGTTTGATTACTGCTGTGGATCAATTGTCCATTCATTGGACATGTCGTTATCATTGGTTTAGGTCTTGAACATGCTGCTTAAAAGTAGAAAAAGTAATAAATTAAAGTAACAATAGAAGAAAGAGAAAGGAATTTGTAAATAACACGAATGTATGTTATCATTTTTTTTTCTAAAGTAGAAATCAACAAATATTTGATTATTTTTCATTCGTTCATTTCTTTTTTTTTTTTCATCGCCAAAAATAATTAGAACAAGTGATTTTAGATATTGATTAAAAGCATGTATATTAATTAAAATTAAGTAAATATTGTATTACATTTACCTTTACGAATAACACCACGTTGCTCAGTTATATTTGCTGGTGCTCTTGGTGGTGATGTACCCATTTCCTGGAAATAAAAAAAAAAAGGAAAAAAGTTGGTAAATGGAAATAAATAATTTTAGCACCTTTTGAAGCATAATATTGCATTTTTTTGAGCTGAATTTCTTTCTTTTCAGTCAAAATTTGTGTTAAAAATTAATAGCAAAAGGTGAAAATTTTTAACATGCTATTTTTTTTATGTTTAAAATTTTAATATCAGAGATAATTTGTTTTATCGCATATTTAAAAAAAAAAAATCAAAGATTTACAGTATCAACATTTCCAGTATCTGTAACCATGTTATGATGCTGTTGTTGCTGCTGTTGTTGTTGTTGTTGTTGTCGCTGTTGTTGCTGTTGTTGTTGTTGTTGTTGTTGTTGTCGTTGTTGTTGCTGTTGTTGTTGCTGTTGTTGTTGTTGTTGCTGATGTTGTTGCTGATGTTGTTGATGTTGCAAGGAAGCAGTAGAAGGAATATGCTGTTGAGATAGATGTTGCATAAAAACCGGTTGTGGTCGACCGGTAACCATCAGGTATTCTCGTCCATTTGGTACGTGAACCTAAAAATTAAAAACATTTACTGTTTATTTCTACAATATCAAAAATATAATTAACTGAAAAATATTTATTCCTATTTTTCACACAAAATTTTCTAACGAATAAAGTTATTTTTTTTTATGATTGCTAATTACACTTATATATGCTAAAATATTATAAATATCAATTATAAATACTAATTATATAATTCATTTTTTTAATATTAAAAAAATTGTTAAATTTTCTAAATTACTTCCTAAATCTAAATTCGAAACTAAATTACTCAAAAAGAATGAGAAAAAAAATGACGCTGTAATGGACATTAGCTTGCTGTTGATAACAGGTAACACGCGTAAGTTCATTAGTTTGTTCACGGAATTGTTCCGATGTAGCACTCGCAATACTATACGGTTGTAACTGAAAACAAAAATATTTAAAAAAATTTTTCGCAAGAAATTAACAATTTTTTTCTTTACACTTAGAAAATAAAAGTAAAACAAAAGATATCATTAAAATAAATTTACAGAAGTTTTATTTAGAAAATATAAAAGTTTAATTAATTCAATTACAGGTGATAAATAATTCCGAAACACCATTACTGAAATGTTATTGATATTTCAACAGGAATATTTTCAAATTTTCATATGTTTTATTTTAATAAATCTGAAAAAATTTAACAAAGTGTAATGTTTATAAGATTAATTAAATTACTTGATTAAATTACCTGTTCAGCTTGTGCATAAGGACCTGGATTATAAGCAAAAGCGTAAGCTGGAGATGGAAATCCGATATGTTGTTGCTCTAATAATGATTGTTGTTGTTCGTTGGAGATAGGTTGGGCTCCGATACCTTCAAGTTGAAGGCTCTAAAAAAAGACAGAGGGAGAGAGAGAGAGAGAGAAAGAAAGAAAGAAAAAAAGAAAGAAGGAAATAGTGGGAAAAAGTAATTCGTTGTTTTTTTTAACAATTTTAATTTGTTCAAATATTATTTAAAAAATAACATTTATTAGCATAGCAATATTTCAAATTGCTATATTTTTTGTTGCAATTATATTTAACAATTCTTTTTAACACTATTACTTATTTTAATTGCATAAAAATAATAGTCGATAATATATTCAAAATTATAAATTCTAAAACTTAATTCACAATTTCGTTTCTTCTTTAAAACAAAAATTTTGTTTTAAATAAATAAAATTTTTTTTTTAAAAAAATTTTCGTTATCTTTAAATAAAAGATAACAAAAAAAAAATGAAAATTTTGTAAAATTTTGTTGAATCATTTTTTTCGGCAAAATGAAAAGAAAAAAATTGATCAATAAATTTAAATGAATTCAATGCTGATATGATCACAATGAAAAAAAAGAAACTATGATAATAGTGATAATTAATGATAAGGACTTTGTCTATTCTTTCTCTTCATTTATTTATTCTTTTTTCTTCTTTTCTCTTCCTCTTTCTCTCTCTTTCTCCCTTTCATTTATTTCATTATTCACTTCTCTATTACTGTCTCATATTTTTATCTCATTTTCTTTTTTTTTTTTTTTTCTTTTTAAAAAGCTAAGGAAAGTTAAAAATTTTTTCATTTTCATAAAATTGATAATTGATTATTGCTAACTGATCGCATATAATACTTTTACATAAGAAAAGATTTCCGTTCGTCGTTCCTTTCAATAAATTGGATTAGACAAGAAAGAAAATGATAGTTGAAAAGAATGAAAAATGGAGAAGAGGTCAAGAAAAAAAAAGGTCACCTTCAATAACTATTTAAATACCAATTGTTATTATCCAATTTTCTTCTATTTTCTCTCTTTCTTTCTCTCTCTCTCTCTCACACTCACACTTTCTTTCTCCTTTCCTCCATTTTTTTCTTTTTCTCCTTCCTTTTATGATTTATTTTCCTTTTTTTTGATCTTTTTTTTATTTTTTTCTTTCTTTCCTACTTTTCAATCAAAAAGATTTAATTTACTATCAAATTAACTGAATAAAAAAGAAAAAATTTTGAAAAAATCGTTAAAAAGTTGTAAAATTTGATGACAGTAAAAGGAATTCATCTTCTCATACATTTTTATTGCGAGAGGTGATGAAAAATCCTTTTAAGGATTACTTTGCCAGTTGAATTTTCAGAGAAAACAGGAATTTTGATCAACAAATTAAATAGGGGCAAATTTTCAAGCTTCCATGAAAACAATTATCGTAGAAGTCTTCTATCTTCGTTCACAAATTAATTAATTAATCATTTTATAAGATTGAATTTATGCCATTAACAATTATTGTGAATACAATGAAGAATTCCTTTTAGTTTACCTAAAATGATAACATATTGAATTTATGAAATTCAATAAAAGAACTGCTTATAATTTTAATTAATTGCTTCGTATGATTGTCATTATCTAATTATTTTACTCTGAAAGCAATCATTTCAATACCCTTTCTTTTTTTTCAAGGTTGACTTTTTTATTTGTAATTTTAATTTAAATTACATTTCTTCTCTAACCAATAAAAATATATTTAACAGATTGAAGTTAGTAAATATTCAAAATTAATATTTCATCATTTGCTATTTCTATCATTTTTCATTTGGCTCAATATTACTAACATAAATTTCGATTTTGATTTTAATTATGCTTTCAGCTTATTATTTTATCATCTAAAATGTATTATAATAATTATTTCGAATATTTACTTCCATTATTACAAACATTTATATATTGCAATTAAAAGAAGAAAAATCAATGAGTTAAGAGAAATAAAATATAGCATAAACTTCTATTCAATTAATCTTAAATAACGATGCATTAGCACTGCTTGTTATCACTATTTACCACTGTGTTATTATTTATTATTTGCATACTCACTTATTTATCATTATTGCTTAATATTTGTTTACTTATTGTTATTTATTATTGTTATTGTCGTTTAATATATGTTATCTATTATTGTTATTATTATTATTGTCACTATTATTACTAAATAACAACTATTATTATTATATAATATATTCTATATATCTTTAATTGATTTGAGATATATGGTACATTTTTCTAAACGAAGGCTACAGATTTTTTAATTAGCGTTGGTTAATACAAGAAATGAAAATTTAAAACAAATTTTAACAAAATTTGGAAAATTTCAATTGAAACATTTCGATTAAAAAGCAAGGTACTTATTAGTACATACATTTTAAAATCAGAATTTTATATTTTAAATTATCGAAATCATAACTCATTTATTAAACAAAATTTTTTTCCCATAAAAGCTTATTGAAAATCCTAGAAAAAAAATAAAAGTAACGGTCAGTAAATTCCAGTCAATTTTTGATATCTAAAATGCTACAGAATGCTACAATTTATAATTGGTATAATTGTTTTTTAATTAATTTAATAATAGCTAAAATCTAAACCGATACTGTTGATCTTGAAATTCTTCCAACAAATATGATTTATGCAATAGCTAATTATAATATTATTTCATAATATTATTAATACTGTAAAAAAGTAAGTGCAAAAAAACTAAAAAGGAGAGAGAGAGAGAGAGAGAGGTGAACAAGAGAGAGTTTGAAACTGCATTAGTTTTAATATGACTCACTTGCATTACGTTTCTTCGACGTTCACAGCTAATACCAGTAATTTGTTGCCTCAGGCCACAATCGTCCAAATACTCTCAGATAACTTGCTTTCCCTCAGGTATAACTTTCGGTGATAAAAACGAGCACAAATTGCAACAGTGATAACCTTTAAGGTGACCGGTATATTCCTTGGAAAAATTGTTGATAACGTTTGTAGCATCGGTTGATTAGTAATAGTGATAGTAACACTGGGTTATGGAGCAAAAAAAAAGGAAGAAACAAGAAAAAGAGATGAAATGATAAATTATAAAATTGAAGAGAAAATTAAAAATGTGAAAGAAAAAGAGAAGAAGATGGCTATAAATAAGATCAAAAAAGTATCTTATTACTTCTAAATTAATGCAATACGAAAATGCAAGAAAGAAAAAAAGGAAAAAATTCAATTCTTTTTTTTGTTAAAAAAAAAGTTTTCTTTTCCTTTTTTTTGGTGTCGAAAAATAATTGCAAATTAATTACAAAATTTATATTCTTTTACTTAAATGAGAAAAAAGAGATAATTTTGACCTTTTCAACTCGTTGCCTTTTTTTTCTTTTCCTTTTCGCTTTTTTTTTCTTTTGCTTAAGGATTAATATTCAAATTGTTTTCGTTTTATTTTCGAAGTTATGTCAATTTTGTCTCATCTTTTCTCTTCATTTCACCTCTTTCACTCTTTTATTCATCTTTAGACTCTTATAAGTTTTACCTCATAATTATGCCTTAAAGATTTCTGTCATATTTCCAATGCTGTTGCCATATCATTTAAAAGAAAAAAACTATATCAAAAATTATTTGTCACGACCAAATGTCACATTTTTCCTTGTTCCCACTGACACCTTCGTTAACTTGTGACCCAGGGCAAACTAGCCTGAGGATATATATACAAATATATAGATGTCTGTGTGTGTTCTGTACCAAACGAGGTACACCACCTACTAGATCTATTTCCTAAAGAAAAATGATTCTGTTAACCTTTATTCCCAATTCTAAGAAAAAGAAGAAAAATATGCCGTTGGCGCTTTCACGACAAAATATCCCGAAAGCGTTTCGCTTCATCCACATACCTACCCGTCGGTCACATCCATAAATCGGAAAATGATGTAAATAAAGAAACCCCCGGGGAATGGGTGGGACAATAGTGATACCGGTCGAACATTAAATTTTTACATTTCAGATATACTAAACCCAAATACAACCCATATTTACTAACTACTACAAAACCACTCATTTGGTATATGATTATCAATTGAATTCATTGAACCATCTTCATATAAAAGAGGGTTACAAAAGTGATTGAAAAAGGAAGAAGGGTTATGGTAGGGTGGAGAGGAAAGGTGGATGAAAATGGGTAAAGGTGAAAGGGTAAAGGGAAAAATGAAGGAATAGGAAGAGAGGTAGAAAAGGGAGTATATAGGAAGAGGAATAGCGGGATAGAACTGGGGATAAAAACGGAAAATGTGAACAAGGAAGAAGGAGGAAAGATAAGAGGAAAGTTGAAATTTGAAAGAATTTCAAACTAGTAGTAGGACTGCAAAATTGACGATCAAAAAAGGAGTCCACCTCCGCTCATTCTTTTCCCCTATCTGTGCCTTTTTGTGAAAAATTAAAACCGTTTACCTAATATCACCATCATTCTAGTTTCTGCCATTTGTTGAGTTTTATGAAATGAATGCAAGAAGAGGTGGAATTCAAAAGGCGGGGAAAGGGTACGGATAGTGGACCACGGGAGATGAATATATATATATATACACATATATATAAATAGATGTATGTGTGTATGTGTATGCATGTGTCTGTACTTGTATGTGTATGCATGTGTACATGTAAATGTGTATTGTATTTTTGGTATTTATGTTTTCTGGTATTGTTGGATTGATGAAAAATATTTCAGATTTTGGATAATAAAAGTTAATAAGAAAAAGCATTTTTATCTAATATAAAATAATTCAAAATTAAAAAAAAACACATTTATAAAAAAAAGTAAATTTTTTTTTTTATAACTAATTGCTAAATTTTTAGTGAAAATATATAAAATAATAATTGAACCATTTTTCTTTTCCTTTTTTTTTCTTTTCATTTCCTTTTCTAATTACGAGTAATATATTTATCGGATCATTAACGATGTTATCCGGTTAAGAAATTCGTGTTGTCATTTTCCATACCACCAGAAGAAAAGAAAGAAGAAAATTACAGATAGATACAGATACGTAGACATACACGCACGTATATACGTACACAGAGCATGCATATACGTGTACAAATATTAAATTGATCCATATTTCCGCTATCGATTGATTAATTCCATCATCTAATTAACATAATTAATAGTGACAAATTTTTAAATAGAGGAGTAAAAATTTTCCCAATTTTCACTCATTCATTTTATTCATTCATTCATTCATTCATTCATTCATTCATTCATTCATTCATTCATTCATTCATTCATTCATTCCATTCATTCATTCACTCATTCCATTCATTCATTCATTCATTCCATTCATTCATTCATTCATTCCATTCATTCATTCATTCATTCCATTCATTCATTCATTCATTCCATTCATTCATTCATTCATTCCATTCATTCATTCATTCATTCCATTCATTCATTCATTCATTCCATTCATTCATTCATTCATTCCATTCATTCATTCATTCATTCATTCATTCATTCATTCCATTCATTCATTCACTCATTCCATTCATTCATTCATTCATTCATTCATTCATTCATTCCATTCATTCATTCATTCATTCATTCCATTCATTCATTCATTCATTCCATTCATTCATTCATTCATTCCATTCATTCATTCCATTCATTCATTCATTCATTCATTCCATTCATTCATTCATTCATTCCATTCATTCATTCATTCATTCCATTCATTCATTCATTCATTCCATTCATTCATTCATTCATTCATTCATTCATTCATTCCATTCATTCATTCATTCATTCATTCATTCATTCATTCATTCATTCCATTCATTCATTCATTCATTCCATTCATTCATTCATTCATTCATTCATTCCATTCATTCATTCATTCATTCCATTCATTCATTCATTCATTCCATTCATTCATTCATTCATTCATTCCATTCATTCATTCATTCATTCATTCATTCATTCCATTCATTCATTCATTCATTCCATTCATTCATTCATTCATTCATTCATTCATTCCATTCATTCATTCATTCATTCCATTCATTCATTCATTCATTCATTCCATTCATTCATTCATTCCATTCATTCATTCATTCATTCCATTCATTCATTCATTCATTCCATTCATTCATTCATTCATTCATTCCATTCATTCATTCATTCATTCATTTCATTCATTCATTCCATTCATTCATTCCATTCATTCATTCATTCATTCCATTCATTCATTCATTCATTCCATTCATTCATTCATTCATTCCATTCATTCATTCATTCATTCATTCCATTCATTCCATTCATTCATTCATTCATTCCATTCATTCATTCATTCATTCATTCATTCCATTCATTCATTCATTCATTCCATTCATTCATTCATTCATTCATTCATTCATTCATTCATTCATTCATTCATTCATTCATTCATTCATTCCATTCATTCATTCATTCATTCATTCATTCATTCATTCATTCATTCATTCATTCATTCATTCATTCATTCATTCATTCATTCATTCCATTCATTCATTCATTCATTCATTTCCGATGTTAATTTTCTTGTCAGTGTCAATATACGTAGAACATTTTGTCACCCATTTATTTCATTTGATCAAGATCAAATATTGTTGATAACAAGGATATAAAATTGAGATAATGAATTAGAAGGAATTATTATTTATTATTATTTACTATTATTATTATTGTTACTATTGTTTCCCTCAAAACTTGTTTTTAGAAATAGTTACTGCATTAGAAGTAACAATTCTTGCTGATCAATCTAATAGCTCTTTCATTTGTGATATTACATTACTGGACAATGATTTTCATCATTATCGATGCCAATGTTAACGTTGACGCCATTGTTGTTTGCTAAATTGTCATTATGATCGTTATTGTCATTGTTATCGCCGATATCTTCATCTTTACCATCTATTAATTCATCTTTTTTCTATGAAAAGATTCATAAAATTCTTTGAATAAAAATTAATTAAAAGATTTATATTAATTTATAAACTTTTAATTTTCAGAAATTGTGAAAATTTGGAAAAAACAAACAAACAAATAGCAAATTAAATGAAATATCATCAATAAAATAACAATTGCCATTGTTGAATTTAAAAAAATTGGAGTAATTTATTAATACAAATTGTAATAAAGTAATATTTACTATTTTAGCTAATTAATATTTCGAGACTTTATAGAATAAACAAGTATTAATAACGTTAAGTTCATTAAAAATGGATGAAATTTATGTAAATTAAAAAGTATGAAAAAGTATTAAATAACATTAAAAAGAAAGATATGATTTGAATATCATTCCAATTATTATTTGTACATGTAAACTTCGTGTAGGTGTCGTTTTAACCAAATTTCATTAAACAGTAGTTTCGATAAACAACCACCTGATAGAAACTAAATTGTCTTATTGGTAAACATATGATATTGTCATTTTATCATCTTTCTTGAAAATTTCAAAATTTAACATTTGATGAATTGATCAGATCAATGACGTAATGAAATATAAACGAAAGAAGTATATAAAACTATGAAATCAAAAAATAATTAAAATAATAATTTAACTAAATGACTTCTTATCACTGATAAAAAAACATCAAAATTCTTATGATAATAGACATCCTTAAGCATTATTTTAAGCAATTAATCAGTTGACACGTACATTAATTTTAAATTATATTTATAAAGAGGGACATTTTTCAATCTTTCTCTACTTTTGAAAATTTTAACTTTTCAAAATTTTTTTGATTTCAAAAAATTCTAATTACCGCTAAATTACCACTGAAAAATGCTGCATT